AGCCTTCAGTGCTTTAGGTGGAGGTGCTGTTATGAGCTGCCCAAACAAACCCACATGGAGCAAATGTCACGATTCTGACATGCTCCACCAAGCTGCAGGTCTCAGATGCCAAACCACGACGCTGCCAGCACGCTTACGGAAAGGGAGTGAGCAATGGTGAAGCCACAAGCAGTGTCCTCATGAAATGGACACATCTGTCAGCTGTAAAAGATGACTCAGACCCATTAGCCCCCTTCTCATTATGTTTCCTATAGAAAAAAATGCTCTATTGTTCAAGAAAATTCCTTAAAAGGAGACAGAGGAAGGGATGGGTATTTCCAGAAATCCCAAATTAAGCCTTTGTGTGAATTCTATTTCACCTTAGGCATTGGGGACAGTTGCTTTGGAAAAGCGATTTCAGAGATGAGATTTCAGGAGGATTTCACACTGCCAAAGCAGTTTAATGATGCCCCTGAAGCAGGAGAGATGGAGGGAGAAAGGCCCAAGTCCAACAGTGCTCCTGTCCAGCCCAAGTTCTGCTTCATGCATTGTCAGAGCACAGCAGGACACAAAACTCATTCTCTTTTGGCACATGCTTAGTAAAGCCACACAATCCACCGCGTATCCAACAGTAGGAAAAAAAGTATGTCGTTTTTAAATGCAGTGAAGAAGAGTTAAACTGAGGCTTAAGTGATAATTCTGCTAGCCAGCATTCATTCAGCCTTACCTTAAGTAACATTTCAGAGTGGACAATGCTACTGTTTAAGGTATGACGTTTTGTTGGCATGACTTCGTGCTGAAGCAGATCTGAAAACTCTCTCCATGATGGAAAGGAAAAGAATCTGAAGGAACAACTGGCTTCAGGCATATATACATATATATATATACACACACATACACCCCCTAGGGTACATATAAATATACCAGGAGTGTGTGTCTCAGTGGAGAAGTTTCTCTTAATGCATCTCTGGAGAAGGCACAGCAGCTTTTAACAAAAATTACCCTTCCTCTGAAGGAAGCAAAAAAAGCAGGACAGTTCAAGGAACTCAAAGCATGTAAGTCCCTTTCCAAAGTGGGAAAATGAAACAATGTTAGAGCTGTTAAACCAGTATTTGAGCCTTTACCCACCTCCCTCTCAGCACATCGCATCCTTTCCAAAGGATGATGTTTTTCAGAATTCCTAGAAACCCCAACCAGAAAAGCTACCTAACATTATTTATGATAATGAATACCAAGAATATAATTAAAATGAATCAAACTAAATGGAGTGTACAAATGGTGATAAGAAAAAAATGAGGTAGGACATTGTCAGAAAGTGACAATTAATACCAAAGACCATCACATCATGAAAGATAACCGCAAGTGCTGTGTAACAGTTCAAACTGGTAGCGTAAAATCATTTCAGCTGCTGAATTAGCTGAGAATGAAATGGTAAAATCAGAAAAAAAAGGCATTAGAAACAGGAAAAAAAAAAATCAGACAACTTTCCAGTGCATAGTTTCAGAGATACAGCAAAATTTGACACATTTAATCAGTTGGTATCTGTGACCTTATAGCTGGGGCAAATCTACTAGTATTAGGGTATTTAACATTATTGGTAGAATTTCATTTTAAAACCCTAGGATCCTAACATGAGATGAGTGTACTTGCGATCTGCAGGGCCTCCAAGAACTTATTCAGCTCAGCAGTGCTGTTAAGGAAACCGTTTTAATTCAAGTTGTTTTATGGTTTAGCAAGCCAGATTATCTATTAGCTGCTACTACAGAAGTGCTTTGAAGAGAGCCCAGAAAACAAGATGTTGACCAGACTGCTTGTTTGCTTAAGCAGAACAATCCTCCCACCCCTCTCCCCCTACCCAGGGGAGAGATCAGTGTCAGAAAAACTAAGCTTCAGTGTGACAATGACTAAAAGAGAGAAAAAGATAAATTCAATACTTGCAAATGAGAAAGGACTGTTGATGTAAACTCATGCCTCAAAGATTGAGCAATCCAGACAAGTATGGGGAGCAAATCACACTGCGGGCTGAGTTTTGTACTTCTGTGCATTAAACATGCTCAGGAGCTCAGTTTTGATCCTTGAAAATTTCAAGCTTCTTCCATCTCATAACAGGAGACATTCTCCAAACCATATCTACTTGGGGGAAGAAGAAACATGTCAAGAGTAAATAGCACAAAGCACTTTCTTGAAGAGTGGCCATGTATTTGCACCACCTGTGTTTCCAGTGCAACACTATCAGGCTGCTCCTTCCAGTTCTGCAGCACAGAAGCTATTCCTGGCTTCGACAGCCACTGCTGAAGTATTGAGCTTGGAGTATCTGAAGAGCAGCAGAGAGCTAGTTTTTTCTCCATGCACGGCCAATACAATTGCTCTGTAGAGCTCAGTCAGGCCTAGGACAGTCTGCCCAGCAAGCAGTAGAAGGAAAGCTCTATGATTTATAGGAAGTGAAAACAGTCCCATTTCTAGCAAAATATCCTACTATCTGCTTGCCTTATGTATTGAGCACTGAGATACACAGCAGTTCAGGAGGCTGCAAGCTTCTAGAAGCACTAGAGTATAGATTTTCAGGAGATGCTTATGGAAACCTCTATCTGCTCAGGTTCCAGCTTGTATAATTAGGAACACATGTAGAAGCAAGGGTCAGAGCACTCATCTATAACCACCTTGGCCCACAGGAGAAGCCTCTGCTCCTGCCAGCCAGGTTAACACTGCTCCAGGTGCACAGCCCCTTTCAGCCCTGCCTAGGGCAAGGTACATATTGCCTTGTAACCACATTACCCAAAGGCCTTGAACACGGCACCGTCCTTGAGACTTCTCTTCGGTTGCATTTTCAGTTGGCACAGAATAAGGAAAAGTTTCTTCTGCCATCCAAAGAGCCCCTGTGCCCACCTTGAGGAACTGCCTGGACCTTGCTGTACCCAAGCCTGAAACCTCAAGCAGCATTAAGTCCATCTAGCAACTTCTGTCTGCTGTTAACCCAGAACACTAATGCAAATGCAACATGTCCAGGCCAAGATGCATCAGCACCAACACTTCCAAGCCCCAGTGTTTGCTCTGGCGCAGTACCTTTTGGAATAACATTTTCCACATCTTTTCACCAGCAGCCCCCAACTCTAACAACATTTCAACACTGATCCTGTTGGGAATGGGAACAAGAATTTTTACAGTACCTTGCCTTCTAGGTAGAGACTTTATCCTATTATTCCCTTGCACTTTTTAAACTTTATGACGAATGGATTAAAGAAGGCAGAATTTACATCCTCTTAAAAGCAGTTTTATAAACAGATTTCCTAGACTTTAATGTAGCTTTATTTAAGCATCTGAACATCAACAAATTCAGAGCCCAGTTAACATTGTCCATGGTTTCAGCATGTTTAGTGTAAATTTCATATATTACATCTGATGAAGAAAGCCATAGTGTACCCTATTGCCCAAACATCCAAGGAGCTCCAAGATCTGCTAAGCCAGGGCTCTAACCAGCAGTTTCCAGGGAACTGATCTGGAGATGGCTGCAGCTTCCCTGTTTATAACTCCTGGGAGGGCTGCAAATGCTTCATGCCTCAGCCTGCAGCTCTCCACCTCGGGGCCAGCCTGGTGGCTCCATGAGGAGCGTTGCAACCTGGACCTGCAGGCCCACGAGCCTCCTCTTGCTTTGGAAGGAAAAAAAAAAAAAAAAAAAAAAGGCAGATTTAGGATGTATTGTAGGCACGCCTTAACCACCCCACCTTGAGGACATGATTATCAGTAGCTATAACACAATAATCCACCTCTGCCAGTGCAGAAGGTGTTTCTGTCAAACAATATCAAAAAAGTTAGACTTGTCTGCAACTTCTCTGTCCCAGGGATCTAGAGGAGCTCAGTCCCCAGAGGATTCTCCTATTGCTCCTTAACACTGGGGGAATGAAACGGGGAGAAAATAGGAAGACAGGTTTCCTTTCCACAGCACCACATTCAAATCAGCATTAGCCTCTTCTTTAGGACAGTAGGTGTAACAGGAACTGACAGCCATTAAAGTAGAAAAAGACAACAGAAAAGAACCATCAAGCAGCTTTGTAGATTGTGTTCATGAAAAATACTGGCAAAGCCTCAAACAACTCAGTGGGGAAGAAGGTGCAGAGGAAACCTCAGCCATCCTCTTTAAACACCAACCCCAGGGGAGACCCTAACACACTGCCCTAGACACATGTTTATATTTTGATACACAACAAAACACCAACAATTTAAAAGCAGCTTAAAAACTTTAAAAGCCAAGATCCTGAAGCACCTTGCTGCTTCTGGCAGAGCACGTGAGACAGTCTTACTGCTTTTAATCCAGATCTTATCTTCTACTTGAAGTGCAACCACCCATTTCACAGGAATCACAATATACACAAGCTCTGCTCCAGGTAAAGCTGGGGATATTTCAAGTGGCACCTCCAGACACCATTTGGAGAAATAGGCTGTGGTCTACTAGTCAGTAGAAGTGATTTGAAGCTGTTAAAGTAGTGCAATTTAAAATGAGCCATGGAGGTCAGGGCCTTTGGTTACCTAGGGCCAGAGGGGAAGGTGTGGAGTACAAGGGGGAAAAGACAATTAGTAACACAAGAAGGGATCCTGCATCCAAGCTGATGTATGACAAATTTATCCCCCCAAAATCCCAGTGCCAGCAGCTAGATAAGGATCAGCTGTCTGTATCCTATCACACCCCACTGTAGGGCCTCTGCCTGAATCGCTGAGTTAGGAGGGAACAGTATCAGGTGTCACACAGAGATGAAAGTTCAAGAGGCTCCCTGAACTCATGGTCTTTGCTTGTAGGACACTGAACACTCAGTCCCTGACGAGCCCCACCTGGGGCGATGCAGCAATCAACATATTTTTGCCTCTATTTAGAGGTTGTTTCCCTTTACCTGCACCATCCACCTCACCCTGCTACCTGTCTGGAAGAGCAGCAGCACCTCTTACTCCACCAGACCCTGCTATGCAGCCACCCAATCTGCCTTGCTTCTCTTCCTGATCCCAAGCTTCCCCCATCCTGCATCTGAGGCAAGAATCAGCCTCCCTCAGAGCCGTGTTTCCTCAGGGACTCCTTGGCTAGTCTGGTAGTTGTTGGAAGCGGGGAGGGAAGGGGCGGATTTGGGGAAAAGGGGACTGGAATGGCCTTTTGTTTCCTTCTAGTTGGTCAGAGGTTTTTCCCCTCCTTTCAGGGCCTCAGGCTTGTTCCTTGTCCGCCCTCCACAAGCGCTCCTTGACCTCCAAGGGCAGCGTGTTGAACAGGTCCTCCTCCACGACGAGCCCGCTGCGCTTCAGCAGGGGACAGTCCCCCAGCTCCACGGGCAGGCACTCCAGGCGGTTCCCCCGGAGCTCGATCTGCGAGAGGTTCGTCAGCTCCCCGACCCGGGATGGCAGCGACTGCAGCACGTTGTTCCCTAGGTTCAAGGTCCTCAGCTTCTTGCACTGGAAGAGCTCTGGTGGGAGACTCTCAATCTGAGGAAAAAAAAGAAATCCAAGTCACCAGCAGATAGGACACACTCCCAAGAGACAGGCCCACACCATGCTCCAGGGGGGACAAGGCACTGCTTTAGTCATCTGCTTCTTTCCTAAGGGAGATTTCCACCAGGAAGACTATTTAAAAATCACCTATTTAAACAGAAATCGCTAGTTTAAAAGATAACATGAATTCCTGTTAAGGCCTTTCTATAGTCCACTCCTTCCATGAATTTGAAGGAATACAATATGGTTAAGGTTCAATAAACACTAGACTATGAACTAAACATAACAATTCCAGATATTGTCCTCAATTCAAAGTCTCAACATGAAGGCTATCATTTGTCTTCAAAACCCAGCTGCATCCTTTTATAACTCAAATTATGCATGATACCAGTTATTGCTAACTTAGACCAAAGTCTATTCTAAATGAGATGGAGTCCAGGGAAATGCCAAGATAATGAGACAAGACCAATTAAAGGCAGTTCAATCATTGTTATTTGCATATCAAGTAATACAAGCAGCAACATGCAGTCAAAGTGTCACCAGCTCTTGAAAATAATAGTTATTTAAGGGACCAGGATTGGTTTAGGAAGGAAGCAATGTGCTGGGATATGGCTTGCTTCCCAGAACGGTACCCTGATACCAGCCAACACCAGAAGTATCTCTGCTAAAACCCCTCTGCTAGCAGAGGGCAATTAATTGAGATAATTCCTGGCCTTGGAAAACGCCTAGGGTTAATTGTGGCCTGGCCCAGACACCTGTTTCATTGGGTCCTCACTATCTTTTGCTTCAGACCACCCTGTGGCACAGACTGCTCCAGCCTTCCTGTCACGCTGGGGTCTTTGTAGAGAGAAGTGGTTGGTGCCACACTGTGCTGCAGAAAATGGAGCTTTTGCTGGATGAAAAGGAGTTTGAGCAGCTCCACCACCTCAAGACTGCACATTAACCCCCAAGAAACTGTTTTAGGGAGGATGCCAGAAGACAAGTAGTCCAAAATTATGCATGTTCTGACAGTATTTCAGAGTCTTTAAAGCTCCCTCCACTTTGCCATCTTCAGAGCTTGCCCACATCAGCCCTACTTCCTTCAGTCATGGATGCATCTTGCCAAATAGCAGGAAGGGTCTTGGATTCTGGCAGTGGTAGCTGGGAGTGTGGAGGCGACTGTGCTGCAAACCCACAGGAAAACAACACAAGCCACTTGAGCAAAGAGCAGCCAGATCTGATACTGGTGCCTTCTGCAACTTCAGGTGATAAACAGACCCCAATAGAAAAATACCTCGTTCAAACATTTCTAGCAACAGAGCCTTCCAGGAATTCACAGAATGAGCTTCCATGAGCACAGGCTGTGACACATGGCAGAGGTCTCCTATAATCCCAAATGCAGGAACAAAGATGCAGGAAATAAAAAGATCCACAAACAGAGTTTGCTTTAAGCAAACCCCACACAAGCCAAGGAGCCACTGCCACGGTGATCAGACCGCCCTGCACACCAGGCATCTCTTCTAGCTTTCCTCGCCCTCAGATAGGGCAGCTTCTTAACCCACTTGTGATTACCCAAGAAAACCACAGCCAGGATTAGGACATATCAAGATGCCACCCTACTAGGCCCTACTCTGGAAGCCAGTGCATTGCACAGCACATTCACCTGACGTCTGATTAACAAACCTAGTTTAGTCCACCCTATACCAAATAATGACACCGCTGAAGAGTTTCCCTCTCTCCAAATTCACTCTGGTAGAGCTGAAGTGCTTTAGATGAAAGAATCATTTTTACAAGTCTGCCTATAAGCAGCTTCAAGTGTAAAGTACGTTGAGACTGAACTCGTGGATTCCCCACAAGTTAAGTACAATAAACAGACTTGCAAGCAAGATGTGCATTGCGTAGATGGCCACTGTTACAGCAGTTGTACATAGCTGGAATAAGTGCACACTACTAAAGACTACAGGTTCACAGAGCTCCCTTGTAAGCCTAAAACCAGTGTCCATGCAGAGACTACAAGCTTTCACTGTAGAGAGACAACAAAGGATTTATGAAGCATCCTCCAAAGTGCCACTTAAGCTGTTCTGCTGTTCAGAAGAAACAAAATGGTGTTTGGAAAAATAATTTCCCTGGAACAATTGGGCAACATCTCACCTTAGATAAGCTTTTGTTTCTCTCTGAAGGTGAAACTCAATGCCGAGTATTTCACACTCCCCTTGCAGCATGTTTAATCACACAGATAACAGAAGCACCAGTTATTTTTACACAAGCAACTGCCGCTCCCTGCGTGCTTACCCTGTTGGCTGTCACAGCCAGGTTCTGCAGGTTTTGCAGCAGTCCAATGTCTGGGGGTATGGAAGTCAAGTTGTTGTGGCTAAGATCTAAATATCGAAGTTTCCGGCAATAAAAGAGCTGGGTGGGGATCTTCTCTATCTTGTTACGATTCAGGTAGAGGCGCTCCAAATTGGTGAGGTTGCCTATCTGGATGGGGATGTAGGCAATGTGGTTGTACCACAATTTAAGGCAAGTGAGACGATGCAAGTGCTGGAAGCTGATGATTTCCTCAATGGTCTTGAGGTTGTTGTCCTTCAAATCTATCTCCTGGAGGTTGTGGAGGCTAAAGATGGAGTGAGGAATGCGCTCCAAGTCACAACGGATCAGTTCCAGCTCCGTCAGGTTGACCATTTTCTTAAGGCTGTTGAGGACAATGAGCTTGGTGCCTTCGTTGTTGATGGATAACTTCTGAAGATGCACACCAACATCTGTCACCACCTGGGGCAGCTTCGTGAGGTTACTCTTGAGCCTCAACACCTTCAGCCTCTTCAGCTCCCTCAAGCCATCTATCACAATGTACCGGTTGTTTTCAGCACTCAGGTTCCCTGTCAGATGAAGCTCTTCTAGTGTCTTCAGGCTATAAATCCAAAGAGGAATCTCCTTGATGTCTGTGAACTTGATGTGGAGGGATTTCAAATTCTCTCTCAAGAAGGCAAGACTCAGCATGAAGAGATGCAGCTCCAGCTTATCCTGGGAGTTCTTGGTGATCCTCTGGCGCAGCTTCTCCAGAGTCCACTCGTTGTTGAGGTTCAGCTGCCGCAGTTTGTTCTCACTCACTTCTGACAGAAAGACAGCAAAGCGCTTGGAGTACAGCGGGTCATACTGGTCAATCAGATGCAGCATAAAAGCAAAGTCGTTTTTCACATCAGGAATATCACTGTAGCTGCTCTCCTCCCGGATGGACTCAAAGGAATATTTCTTAAGCGATCGCTTCAGCATCCACCAGAGCGTATACATGCAGATCAAGCCATAGCATATTACCAAGCTTATGTAGAAAGAGGCCAAAATTTTGAAGAGAGTGGCCAGAGGATGAGCACAGCGGTACATCCGGTAGCCAGTCAAGCTCTCAATGTCCACCTTACAGTCAACATCAAATGTTATGTTGTTGACATAGTAGACAGTATAGCAGATGATCAGAATGAATTTGATCACTTTGATAATGGTTTGTCTCATGTAGAGGCGGTACACGATGTCCCCCTCTTCCACATGTGTGCGGAACTTCTTCACCTTCTCAAATAATGCTTTGGCCTGTTCCCCTTCCTTCTTGTCCAAGACACCCGTCTCGGATCTGTCCACAATGCCTTGCTCAATTCGAGACTTGGTTCTCTGCAGCATGGGAACAGTGGCTTCCACATCCTCACTGACTGTGGAGGATTTCTTGTCCATGGAGCCATTCATTTTCCCAAAGGCTGGTTTGGTATCACTCTCTTCCACCACCGTCTCGGATAGTGCCCTTGTTGTCCATGGAGAGTCAAAACACTTCAGTAGAATAGACACAAAATGCTCCAGTTTGGAGCTGGTCCTTGGGAACTTGAACCAGAAATTGCTACAAGCCAGGAAAATGAGTGTATGTAGCAGCACTAGGTAGGGAAAATACTTGGCAAACCAGTGAAGGCGGTTCTCATAACACACGGCATCCACATAGTTATACTGGTGCCGGTCCAAATCGTATCGGATCCCTGTAGGCCCTGTGTCAGTAGAGGGAACAAGACTAGAGTTATAGTAGGTACGCTCAGGAATTACAATTGTCCAGCCTCTAACAGAGTCATTGCAAGAGTCTTTGGTCACCCATTTACAGGGCAAACAAATCATTTTGTCCTGGGTGACTTGAAGCGTCCCTCCAAACACAGCAATCATGAGCATCACTATGGAAATGTAGTCCGTGAAGACGTCCCACCATGGCTTCAGGATGCGGTACGCCGGCTGCGTGTCAGCGAAGTAGCGCAGCTCCGTGACTGGAATCATGGCTCACCTGGAAGGAAACCAGAAGACATTACTGACTTAAGCTATTTCTCCACCTTTCAAGAAGGCTCATGCTTTATTAAGTCTGGAACAGCTAGACTGGTATTAGGACAGTGCCAGTTTCAAGTCACTTGGAGATAAAGGAATGAAGCTACCTGGTGAGCAATTTGCTGTAGCTGAGGCTGTGAAGCTTGGTGTTCTTCCCTGTCAGATGAGCTCTGTCACAAGCTATCAGAATTGGCACCTCATCAGCAGCCTGTGGGATAAAAGATATTCACTTAAGGAAAGCCCCAAAGAGACTGGGGGCTTTCCTTAAGTAAACTGCCCAGTGAGGCCAGTATTTGGAAGTTTCTCCTGCTATTGTACCCAGGGATTATATTTCAAGGATGGAGTTTGCCAGACTTGTTAGAAAAGACCAAACCCATGCACAACAGAGCACAGTTATCCTGAGCTGCTTACTGTTTTACAGAGATAGAAAAATAATTCCACATTTGAGTTGTTCTCAAGCTGCAGAGGTGAGGAAGATTTACATGCACTATAGCTGTTTTTCCTACAACCGCTTCACCAACGCACTTCTTCACATGGAATAAAACAAGCTTTAAAAGAAAACACTAAACACAGCTGCTTGATGTGATGGTTCTCAGTTTTGGCTCCCCTCACTTTACATTAATTCTCCAAGGAGAAAATAGCTACTTGCCCTGTCATAGATTTGATACCGAAATCCTCTAACATCTGCTCTTTACTTTCTTGCTCTTATTTACTTCAGAAATAGAAGGGAGAGATGGAATAAGATTCACTTCCCTCCAACCACTCCCACCTACCAGAGTTCACCTCAGCTGGGATTTAAGCATCACAGGGGAATTCAAGAGGTTCTGGGAAACAGGCAGGACTTGTTTTGACCTTCGGTGATTCAGACTTTTAGACAGATCTCTCAGCATGTTCTCAGCAAACAGGAGAAAACTCGAACACCTGGCTGATCCACAGATAGCTGAGCTCAAATTTTTCCCCCAAACCTGTCAGGCACCAGATCTTGAAGTCACTGTAACTTCTAATCACAAGTATCACACCACACTTATTAACAAAGTTGAGTAGTAGAACCAGGACTAATCTTTGAGTCATATTTAGAAGACCCAATTCAATTCTAACAGAGCAGGTGCCACAATAGCATCTGTGCAGACAGCACTGCCAAATCTTAGGGGGCTGCAAGCTTCGAAGCAGGTTTTCTACACTGCTGCCTTGTAAGGTTTCCTTGACAAGTAGGGTGCCAGGCTGTTTGCTTTTGTGGAATTTAAGTTTACATTTTAAAAAGCACTTCAAGCAGACAACTGCAAAGGAAGCCCTTCCCAGTCTGAACTCAAAAAGCACCACATTCCCTGGAGGCTAAGAACAGGATTTTGTTCCCTGGTTTGCTGCTGACAACAATAAATGGTAAAATGCCAAGTTGGACTTAGTGCTCCCTGGGAGGGCTGCAAGCAGCTAGAAGGTGGTTGATAGAAAATGACAGTCACCCCCAAAGAAGCATTTGCCTTTTTGCCCATCCAATTCCATTACTATATTAGTCCATTACAAGAGACACACTGGGGCAATTTTCTCCATGCTTTTTCTGGGGAAAGAGGAATTTTGAAGGACAATAGAGCAATATTTTAGAAGTTCAGTAAGACCAGGCACACCAGTAAATACATTTATCAGACAGTAACTCATTCATTCCTGTCACAGGATGCAGAAACAAGGGATGAAAATAGCTGTTACAAGGCACTGTCAGAAGCAACTGCTGTCATGTCCAAACAGAGCTACAGAGTCCAGTCGCTTTGCTATGCAGAACAGGCTGCATCGATCAGATTAGGACAAGAGGATTAAACGTTCACAACAAGAAAGAACAGGCAAAACATCTTCTGAACAGCACCTGAGCTGCTAGAAGCCGCAACTTGAAGCTGCTTCTTCAACTCTTTCCTCCTCCTAACCCTACTCTGAGGGGAAAAAAATACATATTAAATATATTTTCACCTCCTTTCTTTTGCTCAGATGTTGGTTTCCCCAGAAACTCTTATTCCTCTTCTTTCCTCCTCCTAACCCTACTCTGAGGGAAAAAATACATATTAAATATATTTTCGCCTTTCTTTTGCCCAGATGCTGCTTTTCCCCAGAAATTCTTATTCCTCTTCGTTCCCTCTTGTTCTTCATTATTCCCAGGAAAGAAATTTTTGCAGGAGTTAAGCCCTTCACAGTCACCCCCTTGCAGGCTTACAAAATAGAAAAGACCTTTTCAAGCACTGGGGCCTCATAGCTAACGCCAAGGCCTTCTCAGACCTGAGCTGTTGTTCTCCATTGCTAGTTTTCCTGGGTGCAGTAATGCCCTTTTGTCTGACAAGTTAACTAGATCAAATTGTTCAGTCCAATTTGTATCTCGAGATAACTAAAAAGGAAACCCACAACAAAGCGGTGCAGCAGGCTCATTCTCCTTATTAACCCAGGCACACAGGGTAGGAAATCTCCCTTTACATTAGAGGCCTACAAGCAAGCTAACAAATCACCCCTCCAGATGCGTTCAGCCTGTCCCACACTGCAGTCTGTTAATGCTCAATGTCAGCAATGAGCCACCAGCAGGGTGGAGCAGGAAGCCTCTGCCTTTCGGGAACAATGACAAGGTCACTGAAGGAAGAGGACAAGCATATCCAAGTCCCCACTCCTCCCGGCAGCAGCGGAGCCGCTGTTCAGGCCACAGATTAAGAGCAGGAAAACTAGGGGTCACCTTGTAGAAGCTCCGCCACAGAGCCTCACAAAAGGCTGAGCACAGAAGACATGAAGGAAAAAGGTGAAGTTTGCCAGAGGTCTGTGCAGGGACCAGGCTGCGACACTCCAGCTCTCACGTTAAACTGCTAAAGAAATTCCCAGGCAGTAGTATGTTAATGCTGCCCTCACACATCGCAACTGTGCAAAAAATCGTAGCAGTTTCTGTGATGCTTCGGGGTCTCAACAACCTCAGCAGGCAGTGAAGGCGGTTATGGACAGGCACAGACACAGCTGGGAAAGAGCACTGTGTCAGAATGCACCTAAAGAGTGAGCTGATCTCCTTGATTCTCAACAACCTCAGCAGGCAGTGAAGGAGGTTATGGACAGGGACAGACACAGCTGGGAAAGCAGCACTGTGTCAGAATGCACCTGAAGAGTGAGCTGATCTCCTTGACATCCCAAACTGCAGACATTTCCAGTTTAAGCTCACTTAGAAATGATTTGTTTACATTGCAGCTAACCATGCCACATGGAAGGCAGTAAAAATGAGCTTCTGAAAGACTGTTTTGTTCAAGTCTAAAGGGAAGCTGATTTCACTAAATTCCCATAAACTGATAGGTTGAACATCTGTGCCTCAAATCCTGAGCCCTCAGAAACATAGTAGTGAGTTTCCCAGTACAATTACAGCAGGTAGGCTCAAGGCATGGCACTCTTAAAAAAAATTGTGTATTTGTGTCAGAGGTGTTTTAGCTTGGCTGTACTACAGTGCTTTCCCAGCTCCCACACAATTCCCAAAGCAGCTCCTCATCCCTCAAGCAAAGAATGACTTAATTCCAAGGGCTCAGCAGCAAAGTGGCACTACTACTTTGAGTGCAATCCTTACCCAACACAGAACATGCCAGGACAGTCTGCAGCAGCAGCATCTCAGAGACTTGTACTAAGAGCTGTATGTAAAACTGCACAGAAGGATTGCAAATATACCCACCAACCCAGCCCAAAAATATGGCCTTTTAAAGCTTCTGCAATGCCCACATTCTACATCTGGATACTACATAGCTCTTCAGATTCACCTGGATCGAGTTTATATCCCAGCACACACTCCTCTTGCCAGACAGCCTCAGGAACAGCAGTGTCCACTCAGTAAGAACAAGCTGGGCTAGTGTGACCATCGCTGCACCAGCCTGGTGGCCACCCAGCTGGAGGGCCTCACCGTTCACGCTACACAGGCCGACACAATAGAAGCAGTGGCAGTTTCAGGCCTACATAACCAGCCTGCCAAACCTACCCAGGCTTCAGCCAACCGTAAGCATCACCAAGTGCTAATGGAAGGTTACACTAGACATCTGGAAGAGAAAAATCATCGTTCATGTTACAATAGGGACAACCTGAGCACACCGTACCTAAATGGTAAAAATCGGTCAGAAACCAGATTGAACATATCTGGCTGCTGAGGACCTCCTACAGCAGCGTTCATCTTGCCAGGTAAAGGATGGCAGAGCCAAGAGCAGCGATCCTTTCCACAAGCTCCAGAAGCCCTGTAATAAATTAAGCTCAAGACCGTAACAGCAAACACTGCAGGAGCACAAACATTCTCTAGTTCAGATAAAGTAATTCCTCTGCCCAAAAGCAACCAAACTAGACAAGTGAAGTCTGTGGTTATTAAGACAGCTGAGCTATGCCTGAAATTCCTGTCTGAAATTGCAGATCAACATATCTAGCTAGGGATAAAGTGAACAGAAACATCACTGTTTGGTTCCACTAGATTGTTTGGCAGCTTGACTCATGATTTACTGAATACTTAATCCAGTTTCCTCTCTCCTTCCTTCTGTTGACCCTTGCTATAAACAGAGTTACTGGGAAAACAGGACTACATCAAAGATCTCACAACATGCCCAAAGACATCTTCAGTTTTCATATCTCACAGATTTTCCCCCAAATTAGCCAAGTCCTTGTCTTTATGAAGAGTCAGCTTCCAGGGAGGCAATCCTGCAGTGCCATAAGGTAAACAGACAAGGTGGCATTGCAGGTTGGACATTGCAATTCTATTTCCTGCTATAACTATTCTTAGTTCTCTGTGGCTTTCTTCTTGGCTTGTCGGATGAGAAGTGCAATATCACTGACAGAGTTTCTTACCTCTCCTGACAGAAGGGAAATGAGTCGTTCATGTGCTGACAGCATCACAGGCAGACAGGGAAAAGAAAAACCTTGATACTGGTAAAGCTTTAGAGCTCACTATTGACAAGCTATAACATGTTACAAGAAGTCTTCAATAGAGTACAGCTTCCTTTCTCCAGCATGTTGTCACCTGAAATCCTAAAGGAGGGCAGGACAAAGCTCTTTGTTTCAGCATCAGGAAATAAAAGCTTTGCAGGTTGGCACATGGGCTCTACAACTTCTATATCACCACTATAAAACTTGGAAGGAAAAGGGAAGAAAAAAAAATTTAAAAAGAGACCAAACCACAAAGCTGCTTCCAGGCACCCTTCTGAAAAGCTCCCAAGCACAGGGACAGCCACTGGAAAAGTCCAAGAAGAGAGATGGGATCAAGCTCAGGAACTTTGTCCTTTGCCATTTAGAAGTAAACAGCAAGAAAGTCAGGATCCAGAGTTCCCACCAAATTAGCATTCCTGTATCAGGCTTCCTTCAATAAAATAATCTCTCCTGAGGCATAAAGCATCTTCCAAGACGGAAAACGAAGATGTTAAGTCTAAAGAGTGGATGAAATAGTGGCTGCCAACATCACTTACATTTTTCACTTATGGGACAGCCTGTGAACTCAATGCTGAGAGCAAAGCAAGGTGGCTTTCACACAGCCCCACCCAAGCCACAGGACACAGCAGGATGGAGTAAGACTCAGTAATACTGAACAACAACATTTTTATTCAAGCTCATGAAAGAAGCAATCCCACCTACAGTGCGGATAACACTTGCTTAAGACACCCCTCAGTGCACTCTAACTTTCAGGAGCAAGATTTGCAGCCCATCCTTGTCTTAACAGCACAGTGCAGCAGCTCCAGGTTACTGTCACACGAGCAAGCCTGTCCTAGCAAGTACAGGGAAGAACATCTGCACCAGGAGAACAACCTGTGCTGGAGACTTGGCTTGGCCAGCCCCATTTTCTAACTTTTGACAACACTTTTCCCCAGCTGCTAGGAACAGAATGGAGTGGGAAGTTATCCAAATCACTGAAACCTGGAGCAGGGAGCTATGTCAGTGATATAGCTATGTACAAACAAGTGCTATTAGATGACTTGCTACAAAGATGTAAACCAGAGAAAAATGACCCTGTCAGCTTATAAATTATGTACATAGCCACAGGCTTCCAATCCAAAATTAATTTCCTCTTTGCAGTCAAAAGGATGCTTCAAGGACAGGCACTGGAGCTTCTCTTAGGAAAAAAAAAACCATACCTGCCTCATTCCAACAGGACACTAACACTTCCTTTTATTGACTAATCTTAAGTGATTGAATTAACCATTAGTAACTACTTAAGCTAAAAGACAACAGCATTAACTTGGAATAACCAGAACAGCCCTTCCTTGGGTCCTGGGGCAGACTGTTCAGCACTAAATTCCAACATTAAGAACAATCATACAGGAAAAGGTAAACTGTTTTCTGCTTATATTTTGTGCACATTGAGCCTCTGAGAATTAAAATAATCCTTGCTTCAGAGCTTTTATTCACTTTCAATCTAATGTCTTGATTTCTTAATCTCTCATTTCATACTTTAAGGTCTGTACTGTCTGTCCTTTCTCTTTGGAACGAGTTGTTTACCTTTCCTTATTTCTCTCACTTCTCTCAGCTGAATCTTCTTTCATCTTAACCAACTCATCATTCAGGTGTTGCCACAGTTGTTTTCAAGCTTGATAAGACACCAGCTATCAGCACAGCAATATTTGCCTCAGCCTGCCAAGGAAAAGAAATAAGTACATGTTCACCTACTCATCCCCACCCCAAAAGCCTTGCACCTTCAGGACCAGAAGCTCCAAAGCAGTGATATGTAGAGTATTCTAAAAGCAGTAACTAATTTCCAGGTCAGAATATTTTCTGGCTGCCTTCACTGGTTAATAAGGAATAGACCACCTAAGGTTTGATCAACCAGAGCTGATCTAGACTCTAAAGGAAAGCCAGATAAGGAGTGCAGCACCATAGCTTTACTGTGCACAAAGGTAGACTGTAGCTAGAGAAGCAGCTTGCAGATTTGTCACAAAGGAGGAGCTGTGTGAATTGCCACAGCAATTCTATATCAAACATTAACAATGCTTAGTACACAAGGAGAAAGAAACACTATTATTTTGGCAAGGAGGTCATGACTGAATAGCTTTGAATCTCAAATATAGCTTGGTAGCAGCAAGAGTCATGTAAAACACAGCTACATCAACTGAATTTCAAGTTACAATACAAAAAAAACACACGCACCATCAACAGCTTAAGCTACTTGGAGGCTTTTAGGATAGCCTCTTTAAAGGAGGTAAGGGTAAGCAGTTAAGCTCTTGTTTAGGAGTAGTGTGTGTATGGTAAACAGATTAATTCTCAAAACACTTGGAAACATGCACACAGGAGGCTCGCTAATTGTAACCAAGCACATTTTCATCATTACCAAAACATTAGCTAAACATGCCCTGTATTAGAGCCCCACACAACATGTAAGTCTCTGCTCTACCACCCTTCTGCCATTGCTACTCTGTTCTAGATAGGAGTTGGGCTCAGTTCAACACCAGAACTTTCAGTTCCTTTTTAAATACGCCACAAGAAAATCCTCCCCCAAAACGCAGAAAAGTTAAGTGTCTGTCATTAAGCCTGCTCTGATCATACAGTAACTTACACATCTAACCTCTGCTGCCTATATAAAAAAACAACACACCACAGGACATCCTGAACCACAGGACATCTCTCCTCCAGCATTTCCTAGAATGTAATTAGCTCAAAGGATTCAGCAAGTCATAACTGGAAGGCTTCAGGTACTCCTCATTTCAAAATGAAATATTGGCTTTTAACACTCAACTTTTGCTCTATTTTAAGGAACTGTTTATGCACTCTATCTTTGACCTAAAGAAATAAAATTAAGGTTTTTTCAGATCGATAAGGAACACAAAGAATCAATGAACTACTAGAACATCAAGCAGCACATCAGTTTTACAAGTCTTAGGGATAGTTATATTCTGGAATCGACATACTGCACACCTTTAGCTGCTCATAATATAGCCAATCTAGACAACACTTTTCACATTAAGCAATGAGCAGGGAATTCTGCAATACCATTTATCACTATCCTAATAGAAAACTAGGGAGAAATGGAGTTTCCTGAAACTGGTTTCTGACATTGCCCAAGCGACACCCACACAGGAGATTAGTCAGTGCATTCCTTTAAGGGCATGATGAAAAAATTGTTTAGGAGCTGCCTATACAACAATGCAAGTGTGCTGCCAGGAAAGGAAGAGCATTATCAAACCAAAGCCTGTTTGCTACATATCAGCTACACTCTTCTACATAGCAGTCACAAGCTCATCCACTGGGCTGCAGAGAGCTTTCACCTACCTACCATTTAGTGCAGTAAGACCAGGTTTGTGTGTTTATGTGGCCATAAGTTAGACGTATGTGCAAATGTCAATGCTAAGTGCTACTTTGAACAGTACCTTAACTCTACCTCATCCCCAAATCTTCAAGCAGCAGCTAAGTATTACAGATTTAGCCTACTAAAACTCTCGCACATCATTCTCCGACCAGCTGCTTCTCCTCTTTGCTCCTTATCAATCATCTCGTCGCTGCCTTGTGCTTTGTAACTGTGTTCAAGGATCACCTGCAGATGCTCTGGCTTCCTCACTCGGGAGCCAGCCCGCAGCCTTACCCTGCAGCTGGGTTTTGCTATCTGCACTTCAGGCCTCTGAGCTGGAAGAGGGTGATGTCCCCACGCGCTGGATCCTGAGTGGGTGCTGAAGCGCTGCACTTCCCACACGCCATGGGAACAGCTTCCCTGAAGTGAAACAGAAGTCATCAGCAAAAACAGGACAGTCAAAGTTCAAACAGGCCATATTACGTACGAGCTTTTATTTTCCCTCTTGGATGCCAGCATAGGAAAACAGAGAAGGAAGATCCGGGAGAGCTCCCTGCTATGCAGCAGGGGACTGCAGGACTTCAGGGAGCGTGTGGTGAAAAGGAGGGAAAGCCGCACAGGAGAAGGAAGAGCCACAGTGGAAAAACACTGATGATGGTGAGAAGATGCTGCATCCAAGAGCACGTTCCTCCTCACGGCCAAGCCACCCCCAGGGCTGTGGGGCTTCAGAGGGACCCCGGGCTCTTAGACTGGGCTGCTCTGTGACAACGTGTGGCCAAGGCCACCGCTTGGCTGAGGGAGAGGAGCCCCTGAGCGCTGCTCTCCTCTGTGGGGGCAGCTGCAGCTACAGCACCCCGGCCCTGTCCCTGTGTCCTCTCAGGTGTTGTGGGAAAAAAAAACATAAAATAAGAGACGGGAAAAAAAAAGGAAAAAAAGGGGGACACTCTCTATTGGAAGAGGAGAGGGAAAAATAATAAGATAAAGAAGAGGAAAGCGCGAGCAAACTCTGCTCGCAGCACAAGCCCGCCGCGGGGCTCGGCAGCCCGGAGCGGGGGACAGGGGCGGCCCTGCCCGGCCCCACCGCAGAGGGGACCGCGCTCGTTCCCCTGCCCGGCCCCAGCCGCCCGCAGCCCCGCC